TGGAAACCACTGTTCTACTTTGCATCTCTATGAATTTGACTACTCTAGCTACCTCACAGAGTGGAACCATACAATATTCCGTGTCTGATTTATTTCACTTGGCATAATGTCTTCAGGGTCTCATCTATGTTGTTCCAGGCTGAGTAATCTTACAGTGTATGGATATACCACATTTTGTCTGTTGATGGACAGTTAATGGACACTTGGACTGTTTCCACCTTTGGCTGTTGTGAATAATGCTTAACATTTGTGTATCAGTATCTGTTTGAGTCCCCGATTTCAGTTCTTTTGGGTAAATACTCAGAAGTAGAATTACTGGATCATGTGACAATTTCATTTTCCACAGCAGCTTTTTACATTCCCAGTGCCTGAGGGTTCCAATTTCTCTACATCCTCATCAACACTTATTTCCTTTTTATTATTTTTTAAGCTAGCCATCCTAATGAGTGTGAAGTTGTATCTCATTGTGGTTTTGATTTGAATTTTCCTAGTGATTAGTGTTGTTGAGCATCTTTTCATGTGCTTATTAGCCATCTGTATGTCCTCTTTTGAGAAATGTCTATTCAGGTCCTTTCTTTGCCCATTTTTAAATTGTTTTTGTTGTTCTTGAGTTGTGAAAGTTTTAAAATATATTCTGAATATTAATCCCTTATCAGATACATGATTTTCAAATATTTTCTCCTATTCCATGGGCTTCCCTTTCATTCTGTTGACAAGTGTCCTTTGATGAAAAGAAGTTTTAATTTCAATGAAGTTCAATTTATTTATTTTTCCTTTTGTTATCTGTACTTTGTCATATCAAGAAATCATTGCCAAATTAAATATCATAAAGCTTATTCCCTGTATTTTCTACTAAGAGCTTTATAGTTTTAGCCCTTATGATTGGGTCTTTTACTTATTTTGAGTTAATATTTGTATATGGTGAAAGGTAAGGGTCCAACTTCATTCTTTTTGCATGTGGATATCCAGTTTTCCTAGCAGCAATTGTTGAACAGAATATCCTTTCCCCATCAAATAGTCTTGTCATTCTTGTCAAAAACAATTTGACCGTATATGTCAGGGTTTAATTCTGGGTTCTGTATCCTATCCCATTAATCTGTCTGTATTTATGCCAGTAACATCCTGGTCTTTATTAATTTACTTTTTTTTTTATTAGAACTATTTTTGGTTCACTACAAAATTGAGCTGAAGGAACAGAGATTTCACATATGGTCACTGACCCTACATATGCATAGCCTCCCCAGCTATCAGAATTGCCTGCCAGAATGGTACATTTGTTGCAGTTGATGAACATATATTGACACATCATTATCACTCGAAGTCCATGATTTATATTAAAACTTATTCTTGGTAGTGTACCTTCTGTGGGCTTGGACAGAGGAATAAATGATATGTATCCACTGTTGTGGTATTATATAGAGTGGTGTCACTACCCTGAAAATCCTCAGTGCTTCCCCTATTCATCCCTCCCCTTACTCCTAATCCATGGTAACCACTGATCTTTTAACTGGTTCTGTAGATTTGCCTTTTCCAGAATGTCATATAGTTGGAGTCACACAGTATGTAACCTTTTCAAATGGGCTTCATTCATTTAGAAATATGCATTTAAGATCCCTCCATGTCTTTTCTTGGCTTAATAGCTCATTTTTTTTAGCACTGAATAATATTCCATTATCTGGGTACACCACAGTTTATCTATCCATTTACCTACTGAGAGACATCTTGGTTGCTTCCAAGTTTTGGCAATTATTAATAAAACTGCTATAAATATTCATGTGTAGATTTTTTTTCTGGGCATAAGTTTTCAACCCATTTGGATAAATACCAAGGAACACAATTACTGGATCATATGGTAAAAGTTTGTTTACTTTTTAAGAACTGTCTTCCAGAGGAGGTGTACCATTTTGCATTTCCATCAGCAATGAGTGAGAGTTCTTGTTCCTCCATACCCTTGCCAGCATTTTGTGTTGTTAGTGTTCTGGATTTTGGCCATTCTAGTAGTTGTATAGTGATATCTCATTGTCTCTCATTGTTGTTTTATGCACTGTTTCGCTATCTTAGCTTTATTGTAAGTTGGCATCAGGAAGCGTGATACCTCCAACATTTTCTTCCTTCTCAAGATTATTTTGGTTATTTGGGGTTCCTTGAGATTCCACATGAATTTTATGATAGAGTTTTATCTATCATATTTTCTGTGAGAAAAAAAGTTATTTGGATTTTTTTTTTAAAGATTTATTTATTTATTTGACAGACAGAGATCACAAGTAGGCAGAGGGGCAGGCACAGAGAGAGGGGGAAGCAGGCTCCCCGCTGAGCAGAGAGCCAATGTGGGGCTTGATCCCAGGACCCTGGGACCATGACCTGAGCCGAAGGCAGAGGCTTTAACCCACTGAGCCACCCAGGCGCCCCAGTCATTTGGATTTTGATAGGGATTTCATTGAATCTGTACATTGCTTTTTGTAGTATTGACATCCTAACAATATAAAGTCTTCTAATCCATGAACATGGGATATCTTTATACTTATGCATGTCTTCTTTAATTTCTTTCAGCAACATTTTATAGTTTTTGGCATATAGTCTTTTATCTCCTTGTTTAAGCTAATTCCTAAGTATTTTATTCTTTTTGATGTTATTATAAATGTAATTGTTTTCTTAATTTCCTTTTTGGATCATTCATGGTTAGTATATAGAAAAACTGATTTTTATGTATTGATTTTTTATCCTATAATTTTTCTGAATTCACTTATTATTTCTAACTGTATGTGTATATGTGTGTGTAATCTTTATGGTTTTCTACATATAAGATCATGTCATCTGCAAACAGATAATTTTACTTCTTCCTTTCCAATTTGGATACTTCATTTCATTTTCTTGCCTTTTGCTCTTACAATACTCTGTTGAATAAAAGTGGTGAAAGTGGGCATCCTTATCTCATTCTTGATCTTCGAGGAAAAGCTTTCAGTCTTTCACCATTGAGTATGATGTTTAAGCAGTTTTTTAAAAAATCTTAAAAAGAGGAGGGATTTTGAAGTCCTGGGACCTATTTAAAATTGCGTTTCTCTGTGTTCTCAGCACCTAGCACAGTGTCTGGCACATAGCAATTACTGAATGAATGGATTTTAAAAACCCACAGTTTCTCAAAACTGAATGATCTGAAGGCACTGCTGAATGAAGTGTGAATTTGGGACTCATGAGGTTGGCAAGGGTTGAAGGGTAACCGTAAAGGTGATAAGGAGTCATTCGTTATCTGCTGACATGGAGCAGGTGTTGGTCCCACATTACAGGCAGCACGGTCACTTAAATCTTAGTAAACTTTGCTTGGATAGTGTGCTTTTTAGGGAAACTTCCCTGGTGAAGTTATTTTCCCCTTCCCTCTGTTAGCACTTAGCAGCTGGAAGAAAGTAACATATGCTGTATCTCTTTGTATTTATGACTACTGAATTAATAACTTCAGTCCATTGGATGCAAAGAAAACAAGTGAAATGCTATAAATTATAGATGAAAGTTGTTCATGCTAATAGAATGTGTAACATATGCCTTACTTTGGCACAGCTTTGAAATAATGTGAATGATTTAAAGGGCTTAGTCTCTTTGCCTTCATTTTAATTTAGAATAGTTGGAAAGCATCAAGTCACCACCATTTCATTAGTAATGCTATGCTTTTCCATTGGAACTTAAGCTCTCTCAACTTGGAGCAGACAAAAATCCTGATTAGCTGTAGTCTTAGGATGGGAAAGTCAAGTGATTGTGTTCAGTGTGTTGGCATCTCTCTTTATCTGGACTTCTAACAAGCAAGTTCCAAATATGAACTGACATGTCCTCACTTTTTTCCTTTAACAAGGGTCTTCTGACTTATAGATTTAAAAAAAGGAATTCTGTAAATGTAGAACTTGCTGATAACTTTGAGAGGCAGCAGGATATAGTGGATAGAGCAGGGCTTTCTGTCTCACAGAAGGATTTTTCTGGCTGCTAATAAGGAAACCCTATAGTGTGTGCAAAGAGGGGCTATATTCTAAGAATATAAGGCTGCCTTACAGGATCCAAGGACAGGAGGGGCCTTGAGGCTCAGGAGCGTCTGGACCTAGGATCTAGAAGCCCTAGGAACTAAAGTCACTCAGTCTGTCACCAGGGCCCCCTGGTCTCACCGTCACTTTCCTCTCTGCACCTCCTCCTTCCTTCTCTCTCATCAGCTGGGCTGCCTGTGCTTCTCTGTGCTCACAGCCAAGCACATCTGCCTGGCTCTGGCTTTTTATCACTTCCAGATCAAGGGCCAGCAGAGGCTGGCTGGCATCTTAGATTTCCAAATTCCTCGAAGAGAGAATCTGGTTATGTCACCTTGAGTCAGATTACCATTACCAGTTCGTTCATTTATTTATCCAAAAAGCTTTTCTTGAATGCCAGGAAGCACTGGGGATGCAGCCTCCCTTCATGGAACGTGTGTGTTTGGGGGAGCAGGGAAGAGAGAATGAGAGAGCGTGAGTGAGAGAGCGTGAGTGAGAGAGCGTGAGCTCATTTTTGGGGGGACTGACTTGGGAGTTGCAGGTTTTTAGAGAAAGAGAAGTATGGCTCGGGGTTCAGATAGACCTGGGTTCAAATCCCAATTCCTCTCCTTACCAGCTCTGTGTTACTTTGGGCATATTAGATACCTTTTTCATCCCCAATTTTCTCCCCAGTAAAATGGGAACAATTTTTTCTAGGGTAGTTAGGAGGATTAAAATGAAAGGATAGGTGTGAAGCCATGAGTATGGTGCCTGCTACACAGAGTCAGAATGCCGCCCCTCCCTGGTTGTGACCTTGAGCAAGTTCTTTAACCTGCCTGAGATGGTTTCTTCACCTATAAAATGAGAAAGGCTTTCATCTACTTCACGTGCTTATTATGAGCATTACATCATGTGATATGCAACAGGTCACGGGGAATGTGTATGTAACACACATCCAGGGTGATAGTTGCTCCTCTAGTTCTTGTTAATCATCACAGTTTTTTCCCCTCTGTCTTCTAGTTCCCATTTGGCCGACGCTTGCCTTGTGACATCTACTGGCATGGAGTTTCATTTCACGACAATTACATATTCTCCGGCCAAGTGAACAAGTTTCCAGGTATCTGCTGTTATTGTTGGCATCAAAAAATGTTTCTAGGCTGTGTGAGGGCGCCCTCTTTTACAAAAACAAGGTGGCATTTGAGCTCAGACTCAAGGACTCTTAATTGGGACTTGCTGCCTTTACCACTGTGGCGCCCTGACCTTGGGAGGGAAGCTAACGCAGAGGTCATCAGGTTTTGACCCACCAACATGTTAAGGACTGGAGGTTCAAAAATAGAAAGACAGGCTTTCCTGGACTGATTTCACCAGTGGAAGAACATGATCTTCACCTTCTGAGTTATATTATGAAGGTGTAATGAGGAGACTATGTTCTCAAAATGAAAAAAAAAAAAAAAAAAGACCACTTCACATAAATTATTTGCCAGGAACAGAAGTACTAAAATTCTAGGAATATGCCACAAAAATGAGGTTAGCAGCTTCTGCTTTCTTTACATATCATCCCTGGAGGTACCATTTTTAAAACCAGATACACCAGTCTCCGTGTTGGGAACGGCAGGCTGAGACAGTGCCTACCTTAGACCTCGGGACCTTATCCCAGTGAGGCTTTCCAGCAGGGGGACTTGTTCCATGAAGGTGTCAGAGCCAACACTTTAAAACACCTCCTCCCTCCATTCCCATCCTCCCCATATGCCTTTCCATTTTATTTTGAATCTCTGCCACCCTCTTCTGCTATGAATTGCTATTCATTATTTTTAATGGCTCCGTGAAGAGGGTGGTTAAGGTGAGTGGGTGTGCTCCCAGAGGAAGGAACATTTGGCCCAGTGGGGGTGGCAATGGCAGCCAGAGGGTCTTTCTCTTATATTCAGAAATGTTAACATAATATGCACAAATCGTATTATAATTTGATAGTGAATAAGTTTTTTATTTATTTATTTTTTTTTTAAAGATTTTATTTATTTATTTGACAGAGAGAGATCACAAGTAGGCAGAGAGGCAGGCAGAGAGAAAGGAAGGGAAGCAGGCTTCCCGCTGAGCAGCGAGCGGGATGCGGGACTCGATCCCAGGACCCTGGGATCATGACCTGAGCCGAAGGCAGCGGCTTAACCCACTGAGCCACCCAGGCGCCCCGTGAATAAGTTTTTTAAAAATGGCGTCACCCTGAATCCCATCCCTCATTTAACAAACAACAATGTGAATATTTCTGTATTTCCTCCCAAAACTTAACCATATTTTTGTATTGCTTTTATACGGTTGCAGTCAGAGTGTGGTTGCCTAAATACAAGTGTTTTCTCCTAGCGTGATATCATGTATGCTTATTTTTAAAAAGAGATTCTGTTTACCCTTTTTCTAGGGGGCCTTTGGGCTCAGATGGGAGAGCATGTGACTCTTGATCTCAGGATCAGGAGTTTGAGCCCCATGGTATGCATAGAGTTTACCTAAAAAAGAATTTACTCTCTTTCTTTGGCATTCTATACCATGTCCTTAAGAAACCACATCTCAGAAAACCCAGTAGCCATACACGATACACTGGCGAGTTACGCCATGTCCGCCGGGGGCGGGGGGGGGGTCAATTAAGTGTTCAGACTCTCATGGGCCTCACTTGGCTCAGGTTCACTTATAAGGACATAGGGCAGGAAACATGGCCTGCCAGCCAGTCAGGTCAGGCATTTCTCTCCAGCGATGTCTTTGCACAGGTGCCAGAGGCTAGACTCACCCCTCAAGCAAAAGCTCGGAAGTGTAGGGAGACAAGACCTACGTTGGTGGACGTGGGTCTGTCTTGGCTTAGATACCCCTCAAGAGCTTTCTCTCACGTCGCTTCTCCAAAGCATAGCTTCCAGGGCCCCCAGCAGGGCCGTGCTGAGTTACGAGCATCCTTACATCAGGCAAGCCTGGGGCTAAGGCTTCCTACCAGGTATTTATGCAATTTGCCCATCAGGGATCATTTCCACCATATGCTTTGTCATCTGGTAACATGGCTAACTTTTCTACCTTTATTGGTTTCCGGGGGAACAGAGCTAGAAAATTAACCCACAGTTAGAGAAGAGGGAGGGTTCTGTTGGAGAGCAAGAAGGATTCTCGTAGCCCGCGTTCTTGCACACACAGTTCAGTGGGATAACTATTCTTTTCTGTCTTGCTGCTCATAAAAGGTGACTTTTTGATGCCCCTCGACGAACTTACTGCGGTACTGGGAGAACATAATTTGAAAGAGAACAGTTCTTTCAATGAGGACAGAGTTCCTAAGACATGAATCCTCGAATGAGGCTTCATTTATGTTTTCCCCTCTTTGCTTGTGCCTCATCTCATGACTGTGAGTAAGAAGAAGTCATAGCTATGGCTCTCCTTTTGGAACACAAATTAGAGAAAAACACCCTCAAAGGACTAATTTCATTAAAGGACTAGTTTCATCATCAAAAATGATAGAAGAATATTCATGCCAAAGAAGCAAGTTCGCTCTAGCCCGCATCCCACATGCCAGTGACTGGAACATATAATTTTCCACTTTACCAACAGCAATTAATTAGTTCTAACGACAAAGCAGGCTCTCGAACCTCTAGGCAGAGAGGCAGTGTGGCTCCATCCTCTCCCTATGGGAGACAGTAATTCTTCGCTATGACATGATTCCAGAAGGGCCTGTCCTTTGGCTCTAGTTTGGGTCCAGACTTATCTTCTGTCTCTCCTGTATCCCCTTATCCTAGTGGCGCGTCTCCTATGCTAGTAAGTTCGCCTGAATGTGGCAGACAGCTCTAAATGCAGCCCATGCTAAAGAAACGGAAAACTTCTGGAGATGCATATGGAAGCGAGTTATTTTGTTTGTGTCAGCACATTAGATTTTAGCCACTTTTCTATGATGAGATCCTCCAAGATGGGTTATTATGTCTTAACATGATGAATTAAGACTTTCTATAAAAATAATCTGATTTGGATACATCTTTGCTTTAGCAAAGTCCCAAACTGTCAATTCTCAGCTCCCAAGCCACAGTTTTTTGCTGACTTTCAGGGTCTGAGATGTGTGGCGGCCCATGGCAGGGGTGGGGAGGGGACGTTCTGGCAGAGAGGGAGAGGGCCCCCGCCAGGAAGGTCCCAGACAGCTTGCGTGCGGTCGAGCACTCGCTGTGCTGCGTGGAGGGTACACAGACAAGGAGAGAGGCATGTAGAGAGGGAAGTCAGATACAAAATAAGTGCCAGACAAGGGAAATCTGGGGTGCCCTGGGGGCTTGGAATGAGAACACATGACCCAACCCAGATCTGCTTGGGGGACAAACAGGGTGGGAGACCCAGGAGAACATATGAACTGAGCCTCCAGGGCTGGACAGGCCTGACCTCCCCCCAAAATGTGGGGGCAGAGTTGGCATAAAGACTTAGGGTGTTTACTGCTCATTCGGCGAAGGGCAAGTGGCCCGTGATGGTGACAAAGGGTCAGGTGTGAGAGGGGCCATGGAAGCAAGATAAGCAGGGACCTATGGATAGCGTCCTTATAGTCCGAAGGTCGTGGGAGCCACTGAGACATTGTTAGGCCAGAGAGCGACATGGGCCAGCTTGCATTTTCGAAAGGCCTGCCAGAGGGATGCGTTGGAGGTGGGTGGAAGGGTGGAGGCAGGAGACAGAGGAAGAGTTGAGAGGCGGCACCACAGGATCCAGGCAAAAGATGAACTCCTCAGTGGCACTGGGAACAGAGAGAAGAGAATGGATCCGGAAGTAGTTATTTGTCATTGGGTGGTTGGAATGTGCTTTTGCCAAAAATCATTGTTGTCACTGGTGTTTGGATTTCATAGTGCTCTCGACATAGCTCAGATTTTGTTTTGTATTTGTTTTTGTTTTAAACTGGGTTAAACAGGTCTGCGTGGTAAGCCCCAGGATCAGACTGTTGCCCTCTCACCTAGTTTCACAGGGCTGGAGACCACCAGGCCTGGAGACTCCGGGGTAGCAGAGAGAAGAACCTAGGCCCAGGAGTGGCAGGAGCAAGTTCCTGGTGTGGGAAGCTCCAAGCTGAGTTAGGGCATTTTCCCAGTTGAGAGGGGACCTGCCGCCATAGGGACATCTGGAGACAGACCGGTTGAGAACCCCAGGTAGGCGGTGAGCCTCAAAAGAACCTGTAAGTAGGCAGCGGGAGGGCAGGCACCGGGCTCAGGTCCTAAGTAGGAGGACCCTACCCATGCTGGGTAGTCTTGGGTGGAACAGGGAGGAACACAGGCGGGAACAAAGCAAAGCCATTGCTGAGACAGCTACTCAGGCACCAGGAGCAAAAGACAGGTGACCAAATTCCAGGGCGAAACAATCAGAAAGCCTCAGAAAGACAGTTGAAATCCTCCTTATCTAATTGGAGTACAAAGTCAGGGTCAAAGACTGCCTTGTTCCCAATCTCCAGGGTGATGAAAAGACCTAGAGCTTGCGGCTCAGATCAGAGTGTGTCCCAAAGCCTGGGACCAGGGTCATGGGAAGGGGTCAGGTGCTGCAGTAGCGGGGAGAAGGTGGCAGAGCCTGCCAATGACCTCTCTTTTCACATATTTGCTCCGGGGACATGTGCTCTGGGTCAGCTAGAAACCTACTACTCTCGCCAGCTTCTTCCTGAGAGCCGATGACACTCCCCACTTCTGTCTCTGAGCCACCACCAGAAGCCAGGATGGCAGCAGCTTCCATGTGGGGTGGAGGGAGTGGTCGGGTGGGAACACAGCCTAGATATGGTGGCGGAACAAAGGTTATGGTGGTAAGTGGATCGATGGAGGTCTATACTGGGGCCTCCTGGAGACAGGCATTTAGGCAGAGGATGAGGGTGAGTTGGCCAGAGCCTGTGGGTCAGAACTGTCTGGGAAAAGTAGCTGTTGGATTGCAGGGAGTCTCCGGAGTTGGCTGTTTTCAGCAGAGAGGGAGAGGGAGGGGCAGAGGGAGAGGGAGAGAGAGAATCACAAGTGCGCACCACGCCCAGTGTGGAGCCCGATGCAGGGCTAGATCTCACGATCCTGAGATTGTGACCTGAGCCGAAATCAAGAGTCAGACACTTAACCGACTGAGCCACCCAGGTGCCCCTGGACATGGATTTTCACAAAACTTTTCTGGAGCGTTCAAGCCACACTTATACTCATAGCCCTCCTGTCCATGTTGTGTGAGTCTGTCTAACCTGCTGAGGGGTTTCTAAAAGAGAACCTTCCCCTGTCACAAGGTCATTAAAGTGTAGAAAGTAGCACAACGGTCAGGAGGCTTCATCTACTTGGTGTAAGGTGCTGTACTATAGTTGGTTATGAAGGATTTCAGTCTAGTATGATAATAAACTGTTGTCAAAGAAAAGGAAAAAGCTTCAAAAACAGTTGAAGTTTTTGTTTTGTATATTTGGTGTTTAGCTCCAGTGTTTATAACTCAAAAATTCTAATTTGGAGGGGACTAAAAGGAAACATCTAGAATTTTCCGGGTTCGTAATTATTTCTTAGGAAGCTCAGAAGAGTGTCCTCAGTGAGTTTTTTTTAATATTGAAGAGTTCACATCAGAGCAGAGTTTATTAGTGCTTTTCAAGCTCCTTTATTTCTTATTTAATTCTTCTCTCTATCCTTCTAAACAAGAACCAAGAAGCTGGGCACTGACATCTTAAATCTGCAATCTTCGGATTTATTGCTTTTTTTAATATGCTGAGGGAAGCAAGAAATAGGTTATTAAAACCTTCATTCTCGAATGTTCACCCTTCACTTCCTGAACATGGGAATTTCAAGAAATCTCATTCATTCTGATTGTGCCCATTTGGAATGTGTGATAATTCGGACATGCCAGGCTGACACGAAACTTTCTGCTTTCTGTCAAAAATAACTTCGCTAAGCCAGTTCCTTGTGTCAGTGATGGCACTATGTTGCCTCTCTCAAGGTGAAGGCCAGTTCTCGTCTCCATTTTCAGTGGTGTTATTTGCCTTAAGAGATAAGCATGCTAAAACTTAAAAGAATTTTTACCTATTTGCTTAAAATTTGCTAAGGTTATACAGTTTCTTCTCTTGTCAGAGTTCTTAAAGATGTTCTAAGAAAAAAAAATCCACCGTGTTTTAAAAATGTTTTATAAGTGAGTCATTTTAATCCCCTCTGGGCAAATTAATGAGGCCTTATCAATGTTATTGTCAGTACTTACAACTGAAGAACTCCTACAGATTCCATTTTCTCCCCCGAAACTATAAATTATGCTGTGATATCCTTTCTACTTTCTGTCCTTATTTCAAGGAGACAGATTTTATGCTGAAAGCTGTGTATTTTTCTATTTTATACCTTGAATACTCATGAAAGATTAAAATAAAGCACCTTAATTTTCTCATAATGTAAGCAGAGTCCACTAGATGATATTCTTGAGGGTATAAAATGGAAGCAGTCCTCGAAGTATGGATGGTGGCCCCAAATTAAAGAGGACATTAAATTTTAAGTGCAAGATGTAAATGCCTGTCTTTATCCATTATCAAGGGGACTAACCAAGAATGGAATAATAAACTAGCTGAAAACCTGTTTCTTCCAATTGATGCTTCATTTTTTTTTTTAAGATTTTTTTTATTTATTTATTTATTTATTTATTTATTTGACAGACAGAGACCACAAATAGGCAGAGAGGTAGGCAGAGAGGGAGGAAGGGAAGCAGGCTCCACACCTAGCAGAAAGCCCGATGCGAGGCTCGATCCCAGGACCCTGGGATCATGACCTGAGCCGAAGGCAGAGGCTTTAACCCACTGAGCCACCCACCCAGGCGCCCCTGATGCTTCATTTTTATAAGGAGGAAAAACAGGCATTTTATAAGGAGGAAAAACTCTCTGTCTGTTACCTCCAGTTTTTCATTAATCTGGTAGGTCTTTCCAAACCATGATTCCCCTCTGTGGGAAACAGCTCCTACCTGTCTGCAAAAGCGAATATATTGGGTGGGCGGTTTTCAAAGTCCCCGATCATGGCTGTCTTATAGTTAGCAGCTCTCTGCTGTTCAAACCTCACAGCTTCTCTTCTCCCTAGGCATGACGGAGATGGTGCGTAAAATTACTCTGAGCAGAGCCGTGAGAATCATGCAGAATCTCTTTCCTGAGGAGTACAACTTCTATCCTCGCTCTTGGATTCTGCCTGACGAGTTCCAGCTCTTTGTTGCTCAGGTAGATGACATTCTGTCTCCGGGACCCTTGAATTATGTCATGTTTGCAACTGTGTCCTGGAAGTTGGGTCCTGGGTCCTGTGTACTGGGAGCTGGGGTGGGTAGCGGGAGTGGGGGGTGTCCTTGGGAAGCTGCGGCTAGCCAAGGGAGTGTCCCAACAGTACACTTGCTGTGAATAGGCGGGGTGACAGGTAGGCAAGCGGAAGAAGTGCATCTTGACACGAAGAGACTGGCCTGGGGCTGAGATTGGGAGTGGGGTCATGGAGCCGGTGTTTGGAAAGCAAGGGAGACAGGGCTGGAGCAGGTGGCTGAGCCCATCAGCAGACTGGGACCGTTCAGGTGAATCCAGGGTGGTCTCCCCGGCTTCCTGTGGTGTGAAATATGGGAGGTCGGGCTCTGTTTCAAGGCTCTGGAGGAGTCTGATACACTGTGGAGGTGGCCTGGGGGAACCATTTAAGTGTCCTGCTTTAAATCTGTTCTGGACTCCATTTTCTAATCGCCCATTCCATATCAAAGCAAAATGTTTGAGCATGACTGTTTTCACCACTGACTGGAAAACAGTGACTGTTTGAGACAGTACCAGTAGGGAAACTGAATTGAGGATTGCTATTTTTCATTTAGGACCCTTTTCAAAGCCTTTGCTTGTGGGTTCCACAGTCCATACCACACCTCTGAGGGTAACTGTACAACACATGCCGATCTTACTGTGATGCGATAAGGTTCATACCATTTACTGGTCCTACTGTGTTCTGGGCATTGTGCCAGAAGCTTAATGTTATTTCTTTCAATCCTTACAGCAATCTTGTCAAGTCGGTTGTATTATAATCCCATTTTGTGGATGAGGAAACAGACTTTGATAAGCAAGGTGACTTGCTGGAGAAATGAAATTTAAACCTAGAGCTGATTTCAAGACCTATGGATTTTTTTTTTTTAAAGATTTTACTTATTTATTTGAGAGAGAAAGAGAGAGTGAGAGCATGAGCAGGTGGGAGTGGTAGAGGGAGAAGGAAACTCCCCGTTGAGCAGGGAGCCTGATCCGGGGCTTGACCTTGGCATCATAACCTGAGCTGAAGGCAGACGCTTAACCCATTGAGCCACCCAGGCACCTCAAGTCATTTGCTTTTTTTTTTTTTTTTAAAGATTTTATTTATTTGTCATAGAGGGAGTACAAACAGGGGAAGCAGCAGGCAGAGGGAGAAGCAGGCTCTCCACTGAGCTTGGAGCCTGATGTGGGACTTGATCCCAGGTCCCTGGGATCATGACCTGAGCTGAAGGCTGACGCCCAACAGACTGAGCCACCCCAGGCATCTCATGTCCTATGCTTTTTGTCAGCTGTCTTATTGCCTGCGTGTTGCTTTGGTTTTAATATTAAATGATAAAACTTGTAATAAAATGATGATTTATTAAGCACACAAAAAAAACTTGAAGTGGTAATTTTTTAAAAGGAAGCTCTCTATGGGGTGGTGGTCACATGGGTTTATACATTTCTTAAAATTCATCTGATTATTAACCTACAATGCATTGTATTGCATGCAAATTATGCTTCAGTAAATTAAAAAAAAACACAAACTCTCTGCGGCTCCTCATACTCACCCCTCAATTTCCCACGTCTGTGGCTCTGCTCACATCATTGTCCCGGTGTGGAATATCTTGCTGTCCCATTTCCACAACTCTATGTCTAACTATCCTGTGAATTTAAATGAGATACCTGTCAACTGTGCCTTCAAAATCAGATACGTGAGAGCTTTTCCATCAACCCCTAAGATCCTCTTGTGCCTCCTGGCAATCCGTTCCTCAACTCCCCCAGCCCAGGCAACCGCTGGTCGGTCTATATTCTCATTCGAGATTTGTTTTGCCTGTAAATGGAATCATTCATATATATATATATATATATATATATATATATATATATATATCTCACATCACACACTTGAGTCTTTGTTTCTCTTTCTGAATTACATTTTTGAGATTCATCTTTGTTTGTCCTATAGTTTAGCCATTTGTATTTTTATTGGTGAGTAATATGCCATCGTATGCATTTGCTTTTCCATTTTCCACTTGATGGGCATTTGGGTCATCCCCAGTTTGGGGATTTTATAAATAAAATGGCCATGACTGATCACACGCAAGTCATTGATTGAAAACCATTGATCACATTGTGATCAAATGTTTTCATTTTTCTTGGGTAAAACCTACGAGTAGAATTTTTGGATCATATGGTATATGTATGTTTAACCTATAAGAACTTGCCAAACTTTTTTTCCAAAGTGGTTATACACCGTCACCAACAGTATGTGAGAGTTCTGTTTGTTCCACATCATCGCCAAACCTTAGTACTGTTAGTTTTTTGAATTTTAGACATTCTGGGAGATGGGTAGTTGTGTCTCTCTGTGGTTTTAATTTACACCTCCCCTATGACCAGATGTTGAGCATCTTTTCATATGCCTTTTGGCCATTCGAATGTCTTCTTCTGCTGAGTGTACAGTCAAACTTTTGCTCATTTCTCTGGGCATTTTATTTTTTAAGTTGTAGGTTCCTTATATATTCTGGGTACAAGTCTTTTATATGTGTATTGTGAATATTTTCTCCCTCTTTTCATGTTTTAACTCTGCCTTTTGAGGAATAAATGTTTTTAATTTTGGTGAAGTTGAACTTACCATTTTTTTTCTTTTATAGTTTGTGCTTTTGTGTGATATCTAAGGCATCTTTGACCAATTAAAGTGAAGATTTTATTTTTTTTCTTCTAGAGGTTTGTTAGTTCTAATGTTTGCATTTAGGTTTATGATTCATTTCTTTATTTTTTTTTAATTTTTAGAGATTTTATTTATTTATTTGACAGAGATCACAAGTAGGGAGAGAGGCAGGCAGGGAGAGAGAGGAGGAAGCAGGCTCCCCGCAGAGCAGAGAGCCCAACACGGGGCTCAATCCCAGAACCCTGAGATCAAGACCTGAGCTGAAGGCAGAGGCTTAACCCACTGAGCCACCCAGGTGCCCCTTTATGATTCATTTCAACTTAGTTTCCATGTCTGGGATGTATCAGTGTTGAAGTTTATTTTGTTCCATAGGGATATTCAGTTGTTCAGCATCATGTGTTGTAAGGATGATGGTCTCCCTCATTGAATTAATTACCTTGTCAATCTTGTTGAAAACCAGTTGACTGTATGTGTTTGGTCTGTTTTCTTCCATTCATTGTGCATTACTCTCATGCTGATACTGCATTTTATCTTGATTACTCTAAGTCGGAGTCAGTCTGGAAATCAGGTAGTGCAAGTCTTCCCACTTGTTTATCATCACAATTGTTGTGGTTATTACAGTGTTTTTGCATTTCCCTATCAGTTTTATGACCAATTTGCCCATTTCTACAAAGCAGCCCACTGAGGCTTCGGTTGGGATTGCTTTGAATCTACAGATCAGTGTGGAGACAGTGGACATCTTAACAGCGTCGACTCATCTAATCCATAACTTTTTTCTCCATTTATTTAGATCTTCCTCAGTTGACTTCAACAATGTTTTATAGCTTTCAGAGTACAAGACTTCCCTAAGAAGTTTTGTTTTTTTATGCTATGATAAATGGTATTTTTTGAATTCCAGTTTCCTATTGTTCATTGCTAGTATGTAGACGTCCAGTTGACTTTTTACTTTTGAACTTGTAGTGTATGACCTTGCTCAAGTCCCTTATTAGTTCTACACGTTCTTTTTTTGTAGATTTGTTAGGTAATTTGTTTCTTTCAAGGAATTAATTCATTTATCTGAGTTGTCCAATTTACTGATGGAAGTTTTAAAAAACAGTATTTCCTTACTTTTTAATGTCTATGAGATATGTAGTGATCTCCCCATTTCATTGCTGATATTGGTAATTTGCTTTTCTTTTTCTGAGCCGAAGGCAGACTCTTAACAACTGAGCCACCCTGGTGCCCCCTACGTTTTCTTTTTCTTTCTCTCTTTTTCTTTCTTTTCCTTCCTTCTGGAGTTGTTGGTGTGGCATCTGGTAAATGTCAATTAGGTCAAGTTGGTACTTGGTACTGTTCACATATCCCTTACTAATTTACTGCCTACTTGTCCACTCAGTCACTGAGAGGGTATGTTGAAATTTCCAGATCTCTATGTGGATTGTCTAGTTCTCCTTTTAGTTATATCTGTTTTTGCTTCATGTAATTTTGAAGTTGTTGTTAGCTTGATGATTTGACTCCATTAGGAGGTAAATTTCCTTGTCCTGAAATTTACTCTCTTTGATATTAATACAGTACCTCCAGCTTCTTTTGGCCTAGTATTTGCATGGTATATCTTTTTACCTTTCTTTTACTTTGAACCTATTTGCATTTTTAAAGATTGCTTCTTGTTGACATCTTGTAATGGGGTTATGGTCTTTTATCCAGTTTGACAATCCCTGCCTTTTAATCTGTATGCTTGCCCACTTAAATTTAGCGCAATCATCAATACTGTTGGTTTCAAGTATGCCATCTTCCTATGTCTTTACTATTTATTCTATATGTTTGGAGTAATTGAGTATTTTTGGTGTTTTGTTTTATCTCCTCTTTAGGCTTACCAGCTATGGCTCTTTTAAAAAATATTTTTAGTTTTTGTCTTAGCCCTAGAATCTAGGGTTTACAGTCCATCTTTAACTTGTCACATTTACCTTTAAGTATTACTTACTTCAAGTAAAGTATATGTGCTTCACAACAGTATACCTCTATTCCCATCTTCATCCTTTCTGGTATTATCATATAGTTTGCTTTTATGTTATAAACCCCACAATATAGTGTTTTTATTTTTGCATTGAAAAGTCAATTATCTTGTAAAGAAACTGAAAAATGAGTATATTTGTCTTGCATACTCACCTATATATTTGCATTTCCAGTACTCTCCCTTCCTTTAAGTAGTTCTTGGATTCCATCTGGGAATTATTTTCCTTCAACTTGAAGAATTTTTTTTAAACATATTTTTTTGTAGTACAGATATGCTGTTCTCCCAGCTTTTATTTAAAAATGTCTTTATTTTACC